TAAAAATACTGCTACTACTCGTAGTTGTAGTAGTAGTAGTAGTAGTAGTCGTAGTAGTAGGAATGATAAAGGTAACATTGTTAGTCATAGGCATGCCCGTACTGGTAATCGTAACCGGACTCGTAGTAGTAGTAGTAGTAGTAGTAGTAGTAGCAGTAGTCGTCGTAGTCGTAGTAGTAGTAACCGTAGTAGTAGTAGTAGTAGTAGTCGTCGTGGCAGTGGTAGTAGTAGTAGTAGTGGTAGTAGTAGTAGTGATAGGAATACTAATAGTAGTCGTCGTCGTCGTCGTAGTAGTAGTAGTAGTAGTAGTCGTAGTAGTAGTTGTAGTAGTAGTAGTAGTAGTAATAGTAGTAGTAGTAGTAATGGTGGTAGTAGTAGTAGTAGTAGAACTAGTAGTAGTAGTAGTAGTAGTAGTCGTCGTCGTCGTCGTCGTCGTCGTCGTCGTCGTAGTAGTAGTAGTAGTAGTAGTAGTAGTCGTAGTCGTAGTAGTCGTAGTAGTCGTAGTAGACGTAGTTGTAGTAGTAGTAGTAGTAGTAGCAGTAGTAGTGGTAGTAGTAGTAGTAGTAGTAGCATTAGTGATCGTAGTAATAGTAGTAGTCGTAGTAGTAGTAGTAGTAGTAGTAGTAGAAGTAGTAGTAGTAGTAGTAGTAGTAGTAGTAGTAGTAGTAGTAGTAGTAGTAGTAGTAGTAGTAGTAGTAGTAGTAGTAGTAGTAGTAGTAGTAGTAGTAGTAGTAGTAGTAGTAGTAGTAGTAGTAGTAGTAGTAGTAGTAGTAGTAATAGTAGTAGTAGTAGTAGTAGTGCCAGTAGTAGTAGTAGTAGTGGTAGTAGTAGTAGTCGTAGTAGCAGTAGTCGTCGTAGTAGAAGCAGTAGTAGTGGCAGTAGTAGTAGTAGGAGTAGTAGCAGTAGTAGTAGCAGTTGTCGTAGTAGTAGTCGTAGCAGTAGTAGTAGTAGTAGTAGTAGTAGTAGTAGTGCCAGTAGCAGTAGTGGTAGTAGTAGTAATAGTCGTAGTAGTAGTAGTAGTAGTAGTAGTCGTCGTAGTAGTCGTAGTAGAGGCAGTTGTAGTAGTAGTAGTAGTAGTAGTCGTAGTAGTAGTAGTAGTAGTCGTAGTAGTAGTCGTAATAGTAGTAGTAGTAGTAGTAGTACTACTACTAGTAGTAATAGTAGTCGTAGTAGTAGTGGTAGTAGTAGTCGTCGTAGTCGTAGTCGTAGTCGTAGTCGGCGGCGGTGGTGGCGGAATAATTCTTTGCCGGGAAATGTTGGGTGTCGTTTGCCATCAATTTGCCCGTACGAAAATAATTGATTGCAAATTTTTTGAAGGGGGTTATAAACCAACAAAAACCGCCTGCGGTTACTGCGGCCGCCAAAGCCCCGTAGGACCACCGGTGGTCCTACGGTGATCTCTTCTAGGCCGCGACATACCGCGGCCAACAGAGATCTCCAGGACCACGGGTGGTCCCGTGGGGACCACTTCGTGAGACGCTGCGTAACACAACACAGCAGATCATAACAGCACAGGACAGACGAAAACACGATACAAACATTTCAAACCATAATTCGACATCATATAATTGAGTACAGTCGTACAGAAGATAACAGGTTGGAATTGCTCCAGTCAGAACAGGATGGATTACAGTATAAGTATATACCAAAAAGCGAGATAATGGCAGAACGTGTATGCAAATCATTTTCGATAGTTGAGTCGAGCTCCCTATGGGGCCACGAAGCGCTGAACTGGGTGGGGGTGACGCATGCGGGCGCTGCCACTGGGGCCTTCGGTGGAATTCCATATGGGGCCACGACGCGCTGTACTGGGTGCGGGTGGGTGATGATGCCGATGCTGATGATGATGGAGGAGAAAGGGGGAGGATGAGGATGAGGACGAGGCGGGGGAAGGAGTGAGGGACGCGGGGCGCTGTCTCTCCAACACGAGGACCCAACACCACAAGATGGTTGGGAAAAGCGTCTGTCGTGTTCTTTGTTTTGGTAAGACGCGAGCATGTCCGGGGCCCGGACCTCTGCAGCCGCGGGTGGAACCAGACCTGCGGATGCCAGGGAAGCTCGAGGAGAGAGGCACGGGAACGCCGCGCGCCGAGAAGACCTAGGCATGCGGCTCCCCGCAGGGGGCGCCGGGCGGGGCCCACGAGGAGCCTCGATGCGGTCAGGACCGAGGAGGGTCGAGGCGGGGTCGGGGGTCGAGTCATTGGTGGGCGTTCTGCGCTCTTGGGTGGTCGAGGAGGAAACAGCGGTTTGGGCAGTCTTGGCGCCCTGCTTTGAGCCTACGGGTGTCTCCAGGGTCCGGGATCGAGTCTTTGCGTGATGCAAGAACATCGCGCGCTCGAAGCTGTAGAGAGGAGGAGGAAAACGGCAGGGGGCAAGGACATGAACGCACTGCAGGTTAAGGGTGCGGGTTGTGGGACCCCGAGAGGGGGCTCCCGTTCGAGCGAGGATCCCCGTCCGACAACACACACACACACACCCAGAGCCCACCGCCCCAACGGAATTACACCCCGAAGATCTTGGGACGATGACGAGGATGCTCGGTCACGCTGGCCAGCAGGCGGTCCAGGCGTTCTCGCAGCTGCGCCAGGAGCTGCGGGGGGACCACGGGCTCGGCGACCTCAAGCATGTGGCGGAACGTGTGGAGCTGCGACGGCCTCGCCCGCGAAGCTCTCATCTCGAGATACTCCAGGCCCTCGCACAGCATCACCTCAATAATGAAGACGAGGCAACCACAACCGCTTTGCTGGGGGGGGCCCTCGCGGTCCCCCGGGATAGGGCGACGAAATCTATACGTATCCACTGCTCCTGGCCAGGCTGGCCCAGGAGCGGTGTATGCGCCCTCCTGGCTTGGCCAGGAAGGCATGCACATCGCTCCTGGCTCCTGGGCACAGGATGTGCGCGGCCAGGGGCTCTGGATATGTATAGTTTCCGTCGTCCGACAAAGCCGACCCCGACCACTTAGCGGTGGTGACCTGCGACCATCGCCCGACCTCGAGTGCCGCGCGCAGGTCATCACCGCTGGGGGGATGGGGTGGGGTCGGCTTTGGGGGGCGCTGGAGGCGGCTCCATCAGCCCAACAATTGCGGTTGTCTCTTCTTCGCAAATGATCACCTCCCGGCTGAGCTCCACCATGCGCTCCTGGAGCGCCTGGGTGACCTCCGTCTTCTTGTCCTCGAGGGGAAAATACTAACCACGTTCATCGATCGTCCGATCCCCACACCAACTGGCATAGCCTCGGGCCCACTGGCCAATGTACCCGCTTGCCCCACCCCCCTCCCCAGCCCCCGCCACACTGCAACTGGAATCGAGCCCCCGCCCCCCCGCTGGATGGCGATTGCCTCGCGAAATGGGATCGCTCCCCCCCCCCTGGGGTCGTGGCCGTGCGGGCGTGGCGTGGTGGAGGGTGCAGGTGCACCCCCCCCGCCCTCCCCCTGTGGGTGTAGGGTGGTTCGTCGTCGTCGTCGTCGTCGTCGTCGTCGTCGTCGTCGTCGTCCTACGTCGTCGTCTTCAACGGCGGCGGCGGCGTCGGCGTCGGCGTCGGTGTCGTCGTCGGCGTCGGCCACGGCGTCGGCGTCGGTGTCGGCAACGCGTCGGCGGCGTTGGCGTCGGCGTCGTCGTCGTCGTCGTTTTCGTCGAAGTTGTCGTCGGCGTCGTCGTCGTCGTCGTCGCTGTCGGCGTTTGCGTCGGCTTCGGAGTCGGCGTCGGTGTCGGCGGCGTTGACGTCGTCGTCGTCGTCGGCGTATTCGTCGGAGGCGTCGCCGTCCCCGTCACCGTCGTCGTCTTCGTTGTCGGCGTTGGCGTTGGCGTTTGCCTCGTTCATCGTCGTCGTCGTCGTCGTCGGCATCTTCGTCGTCTTCGTCGGCAGCGGCGTCGTCGTCGTTGTCGTCGGCCTCGGCGTCAGAGTCGGCGGCATTGGCACTGGCGTTGGCCTTGGCGACGTCGTTGTCGTCGTCGTGGTCGGCGCCGGCGTCAGCGTCGGCGGTGTCGTCGGCGTCGGCGTCGGCGTCGGCGTTGTAAGCGTCGGCGGCGGGAGGTCGGCGGCGATGGCGTCGTCGTCGTCGTCGTCACCGCCGTCGTCGTCGTCTTAGTAGTCGTCGCCGTCGCCATCGTCGTTGTCGGCGTCGGCGTCGGTGGCGGCGTCATTGGCGTCGTTGTCGTCGTTGGTATCCGCGTTGTCGGCGTCGGCATCGTCGTTGTCGGCGACGTTGTCGTCGTCGGCGACGGAGTCGGCGTCGGAGTCGACGTCGGCGTCAGCGTCGGAATTGGCGTCGGCGTCGGCGGCGTTGGCGTCGGCGTCGGCGTCGGCTCGTCGGTGTCGTCGGGCGTTGGCGTCGGCGTCGTCGTCGTCGGCGGCGACGGCGTCGGCGTCGGCGTCGGCGGCGGCATTGGGTGTTGGCGTCGTCGTCGTGCTCGCCGTCTTCGTCTTCATCGGCGTCGGCGTCATCGTCGTCGTCGGCGCAGGCGTCGGCGTCGGCGGCGTTGGCGTCGTCGTCGTAGTCGTCGCCGTCGCCACCGTCGCTGTCGGCGTCGGCGTCGGCATCGGCGGCGTCGTCGTCGTCGTTGGCGTCGGTATCGGCGTCGTCGTCGTCTTCGTTGTCGTCGTCGTCGGCGGCGGCGGCGGCGGCGTCTTCGTAGTCGTCGTCGTCATCGTCGTCGTCGTCGGCGGCGGCGGCGGCGGCGTCGGCGTTGGCGTCGGCGCCGGTGCCGTCGGCATCGGCATCGGCGTCATCGTGGTCGGCGGCGGCGTCGCCGTTGGCGTTGGCGTCGGCGTCATCGTTGTCGTTGTCGTCGGCGGCGTTGGCGTCGTCGTCGTCGTCGTCGCAGTCGTCGCCGTCGTCATCGTCGCTGTCGGCCTTGGGCGTCGGCGTACTCGTCGGCAAGGTCGTCGTCATCGTCGGCGCCGACGCTGGTGTTGTCGTCGTCGGGGTCGGCACTGGCGTCGGCGTCGAAGTTGTCAGCGTTGCGGTCGGCGTCGGCGGCGTTGGCGTGGTAGATGTCGTCGTCGTCGTCGACGTAGTCGTCGCCGTCGTCATCGTCGCTGTCGTTGCCGGCGTCAGCGTCGGCGTCGGCGTCGTCATCGGCGTCGGCGTCGTCGCTGATGTCGTCGGCGTTGGCGTCGGCGTCGGTGTCGGCGTCGGCAGCGCGTCGGCGTCGGCGTCGGCGCCGGTGTGGGCATCTGCGTCGGCGTCGGCGCCAGCGGCGTTGGCGTTGGCGTCGTCGTTGCTGTCGTCGTCGTCGTCGTCGTCGTCGTCAGCGTCGGCGTTGACGTCGTTGTCTTCGTCGTCGTCGTCGGCGGCGGCGTCGGCGTCGGCGTCGGTGTCGTCGGCGTCGGTGTCGGTGGGGTCGGCGTTGACGTCGTCGTCGCCGTCGTCGTCGGCATCGGCGGCGGCGTCGGTGTCGTCGGCGTCGGCCGCTTTGGCGTTGGCGTTGGCGTCGGCGTCGTCGTCGTCGTCGTCGGCGTCGTCCGCGTCGTCGGCGTCGGCGTCGGCGTCTCCGTCGTCGGCGGCGACGGCGTCGGTTTCGGCGTCGGCTTGGGCGTCGGCGTCGGCGTCGGCGTCGGCGTCGGCGTCGGCGTCGGCGTCGTCGGCGTCGGCGTCGGCGGCGTCGTCGTCGTCGTCGTCGCCGTCGTCGTCGTCGTTGTCGGTGTCGTCGGCGGCGGCGTGATCGGCGTCGGCGTCGTCGTCGTCGGCGTTGGTGTCGTCGTCGTCGTCGTCGCCGTCGCAGTCGTCGCCGTCGTCGTCGCTGTCGGCCTTGGGCGTCGGCGTCGTCGTCGGCGTCGGCGTCGTCGTCGGCGTCGGCGTCGTCGGCGTCGTCGTCGTCGTTGTCGTCGGCGGCGACGGCGTCGGCGTCGGCGTCGGCGTCGGCGGCGTTGACGGCGTCGGTGACGTTGGCGTCGTCGTCGTCGTCGTCGTCGGCGTCGGCGTCGCCGTCGTCCCCTCCCATCCCATCTGGGGATGGCTGTGGAACCCTGAGGCCCATCACATCTGGAGGGGGGGCCTGTGAACCCTCGACCCCGGATCAGCCAGGTGCTCCCTTCGGGTCTCGCGTGGCCTCTCCCCGCCCGGGAGCGTGACCTGGCGTGGCTGAGATTCCGTGGCCCCATGGCCCCCCCCCTTCGTAGCCCCCGATGCCCCTACAGTCGGGGCGTTGACCTAAGGAACCCTAAATAAGGAACGAGGCCCCTTTTTTCCATAAGTTAACCTTCGACTTCCTGTCGAGAACATAAGGAAAGTCTGAGGCAAGCTGTGAAACACTTACGGAACGCGGAGCCCCTCCCCAACTGTACACCGTGGCACACCCCCGGGGCCGCCCGTCGTGGCCCGTGGAGAGCCGTCCGGGGCATTCTGCCGTGCAGTCGGGGCGTTGACCTAAGGAACCCCAAATAAGGAGCGAGGCTCCTTTTTTCCATAAGTTAACCTTCGATCTCCCATCGAAAACATAAGAGAAACCTGAGGCAAGCTGTGAAACAATCAAGGAACACCGAGCCCCTCCCCAACGAACAGGGTTCCTTCTTCATGGCCCCGACTGTAGGGGCGTCACTGCTCAGTCTGTCATTCTTTTCCCGGCGTCCAGCAGCGAGTCGCACTCGCGGCGCAGGAAGCTGCGGCGCCTCCGGAAGAGCCAACACACGGCGTCAGCACAATTGCTCTGAGGCCAGCGCGGACTTCTTCGATCGGCGCTGGGCCCCCCTCCCAGGCTCGCGGAGCGCGCCAGGGGCGGCGCCGGAGGCGCCACCAGGGGGGGCTGGCACCTATCCAAAAAAGCCGCGCGGCCCTCCGAGCAACGAGGTTTATGCCGTTGTTTCTTCTTCGATGCTGGTAGCTCCTCGGCTCCGGGGGGGATAATCTACGAGGATCGAAGGCGATCCAAGACCAGGGAGGATCCGGGTTTTCGTGGGAATCTTCGGGTCCTCCTTGTGGAGGCAAAAAACGGCGCAAACTTAAACACCAGGCATCATGTTTTTGCCGTTCTTCTGGAGCGCATTTTGCATTCGCGGCCATAAGGGGCGCTATGGGGGGAGAGGGAGCGGGGGGACGGGAAGAAGCACGACATAACGCCCCCCCCCCCTCAGACTGTGGTGCCAGACGCACTGCGGCAGTGAATGCGGGGGACGCACTGTGGGAGATGCGTCTCGTTATGGGGGGAGGGGACGGAGGGGGAGAGGGTAGGGGGCATGGCGCGCGTCATGGCCCAGAGGGTACAACAACACAAACGCCCTTCTGCCGCCCAAAGGGTGAGACAAAAACGCCCTCCTGCCCTTCCAGCCTCATCAGCTTGTGGTCGTCGTGGGGCGCGTTGCCCAAGGCGGCGGCCGCCTTGAGGCTGCTGAGCAGCCCGGCCTCCAGAACGTCCGCGACGTCGGCGCAGAGGCGCCCGCGCAGCGGCGCGTCGAGCGGCACGAGGCGCTGCGCCGCGCCGTCCCAGGCCAGGTCCCTCGCCTCGAGCCGCACCTCGCGGCGCTTTGGCTCTTGCGCGTCGGGTGAGCCTCGATCCGCTTGGATCGCAGATGTTTCCAGGCGGCATGCCCCAAAAATAACGGTTGCGCCCGACTCGGGCGCAGGGGGCATGCGCGAGGGACCTCGGCGCGCAGCGGTGAGAGGAGAGGCAGAGAGGCTGTGAGGTGCAGAGTGGCCCAGGGCGCAAGGCAGGCGTGCCGAGGCCCGCACCTTGTAGTCCTCGAGGTTCTCCACGAGGCAGCGGACGACCTCCCGCAGGCACGCGGCGCCGGAGGCGTTCCCCCTGGACAGGTGCAGCAGCCTCTCGGTAGCCTCGTACTCGAAGCGTCGCGCCACCTCCTCGTGGAACATTGACTGCACCTTTGCATGGTAGGCGCCGTTCAGCTCCGCCTCCTCCGCGTCTGCCCCAACGAACCTGGTGAGCAAGCTGGCCCACTCCCTGCAAACCAGGGCCGGCGCGCGGGTGTGGGCCAAGTCGTGGCCGATTGAGCCGTTCTCCACCAACTGGCCTATCGCCAGGCCTGCGCGGTGCTGCGCCTCCAAGTTTTCTGGCTGGCTCTCCGAGAGCTGCGCCAGCGCATCCAAGACGTGCCCCGCCTGGCAGATGCCGCTGTCGCACAGCCGCCTCAAGGCCACGCAGCACACTTCCACAGCCCGGCGGTCTGGGTGGCCCAGCAATATCTGGATGCAGTCCTGCACGACCTGCTGATCGCCGACCTGCGCCAGGCGGGCCAGGGCCTCGCACCCCAGGCCCTGCAGCTTGCTGTCACTACTCTGCCCGACCATGGCGGCAAATATCGCTGGCAGGGCCTCGTGTGCAATCAGCGAGGCCACGCCCTTGTGGGGGCAGAACAGGTACCGATGCCGATGCTCCCCGGACCTCCCCAGGGGTGCGTTCCGACCAAAATTCGGAAGAGAATCCAGCCATCGTCTAGAAGGACCAAAAGGCAGCTCAAGCATAAACTTTTGGAGCTCCGCGCGGACTTCTCGGATCGGCGCTGACCGCCCTCCAGTCTTAAAATACTTGTTGCTCCTGTTGTTATTGTTATTGTAGTTCTCTGGTCGTCATCTACGCGGGTGGGTCGCGGCGGGGGTGGGTGGGTCGCAGATGGGTCGCGGCATGGGTGGGTCGCGGGTGGGCCTCGGCGCGGGCGGGCTGCAACCCAACCGCGCCGCGACGCGCCCGCGACCCTCGCTCTTATCCGCAACTGCGGGGGGCTGCGGTCAGGAAGTTTGTCATAGCGCGTCGCAGCGGCGGCCCTGGCGACACGCTAACTGCCTTGCAGTCGGAGTCAGCGTGCCGCTCCGCTCCGCGGGGCGAGGGGCTCGGGAAAGCTCGGGTCGTTGACGCCTCGGGACTGGGAAGTGGATAGCGTGTCGGGCCGCAGCGCGGTGGGGCAGAACCGGCTGAAAGACACGCTATACACGAGGAGGAGGAGGAGGAGGAGGAGGAGGAGGAGGAGGAGATGGAGGAGGAGAAGGAGGAGGAGGAGAGGGAGGAGGCGGAGGAGGAGGAGGAGGAGTGTTCCTCCCAGGGCGGCCGGCACGTAGGAGATGCTGCCCAGCGCGGCGACCGCCAGCCTCTGCAGCGCCAGGCTGTCTGGGAAGCGCGCGGCGGCGCGCCCCACGAGCGCCACCGCCGCCAGGCACTGCGGCCGCAGCTGTTGCACGTCGCGCGCGAGGCGCCCCACCGCGTGCACTCCAGCGCGCTGCGCGCGCTCGTCGTGTGGGTGGGCCTCCATGGCCCGCAGCACCGCCGCCAAATCCTCGCGGGCGGCCAAAAGAAACTCGTCCCCGGAGAGCGGGCCGTTGCAGTCTTTGCACAGCGGGCGGTGTCGCCTGGGGCTTTTCGGGGCCCAGGACCATCACATAAGATCGATGCCGCTCGAAAGATGCAGCGCAAGGATCGGGTCTGGGGGCCCTGGTAGTGCTTCCATGTTCTTTCTGGAAAGAACATGAGACCCTCCGTCGGCCCAAACAAACAGAACATCCAAGGGTACCCTCCCTAGGATGCACAAGAACGTCCAACAAGCCCGAAAAACATCTGGGCACCCTCCCCGAATCCGACCTCGATCTTTTACCTCGGCCCGACTGGAATGATTTTCTACTGTCTCGCAGCGTCGGAGCCTCAGGGTACACGGCGTCTCTCAGGGGCCGCGGCCCCAGGGGATTTGTGCAGGGGGGCCTTGCGCGGGCGCGCCCCGCGCGGAGCGCACACGCGTGGGGTCGCGCGCAGCCGCGGCATCAAGCCGCGGGAAGTCCAGGCCGCGAGGGCACTGACACCGCAAGCGTGCTAGCCGAAGGATGAGGAGAACAAGTATCGTGCTGGGAGAAAGGGGTTGGGATGATGAAGAGTCTGAGCACTAGCATCCAGATGGAATGAACGTTACCTTCGGCCGCCTACGGGTAAGGATATCCGTATGTCTTCCAATTCCATCCTCCCGACCCGAGAATGTGAAGGGGCCCTGGGACACACAAATAAATACACACACATAAAATTATTCCCCATATGTTTCCATATTTTCTGGGTTTTTGTCTTCCCCCCCAATTCCTATATTTTCCCATATTTTCTGGGAAATCGAGGATTAATAATGTCTGTGTGTTTCTTTTCCTCCTGAGAATGGCCTCCCTGAAAGGAACGGAGGGGCTTCCTCTTGGCCACGGCGAGCCGCGGCTTCGAGCAGGATCCCCAAGCTGGATCCCGAGTCCTAGATCGAACTGGCGGCCCGCCCACCGGAGCCCCTCCTGAGCCCCCAGAGGCCCGCATTCCCGCGGAGCGCACCCGCGCTCATCACCCACATCATCGCGCCGCGGAATCCATGATTTATGGTGTGGGAACTTCACGTTGTCCATCGCAAAATCATCTGACTACCTACCAGACCACCCCAACCCAACCCGAAGACCCGAATTTGATCCGAATTTTGGGTTGGGGGGGGGTACGGGTTCCATGTGTTTTTTCAACGTTCCCCGACCCCCCCCCACTGGAAATGGAGGGCAAGTTGAGGCCTTCGGGTTGGGTTGGGGTGATTTGGTAGGTGGTGATCATCGAAGCCCTGGAGGCAAGCAGGGTGCCTCTCGGCATGGGCTCCCGGTTGTGCACGGCTTGTTCTCTCCGCGGCCCCGAGGATCCCGACCCTTCTCCAGCGGGAGAGATTCTCCCGCCCCGGATGCATGTTCGGTGGCGCCGGGGCCGGACAACGGGCCTCCGAGGCCGACGTCCAAGAGAACCCCAGGACTGAGACAGTGGCATTGCGGGAGATCTGGGGATGAGCTCGCCGCTGCCGCCAAGTACCGACACTGCTACTCTCCCGGCCTCTCCCATGGTGCGCTCCGACCAGCATTTCAACGCGAACCCAGCCGTGGCGCCGAGGGCCTCCCAGGAGGCCCCAGAGGGCGGAAACGAGGCAAGGGTAAGTAGCGGCATCGGCACAATGCTTCCTGCTCTGAGCTGTAAGGACCCCGACATCCGAGGTCTTGATTTTCCACGAGGCTCCACAAGAGGTCAACACCACTTCCCCGATGGTTGTTTGAAAGTCCCCAGGCCCAGCGAAGGCTAACTTCCAGCTGTATACTTTCGACTTTACGATCGGTCTCACGATCGGCCTTCCTATCGTCCTCACTATCGATTCCACTTCCGAACGTTTCAAAACATCCACTGATTGAACTTTCACGACGCGACCACGTCTGGTGATGTGCTCGCCGATGCCGCCGGGTCCCCGGACCCGTCCCAAGGTCCCTGGGCGAGTTCCGTCTCGAACCGAGTTCTGACGGTGCCGGAGCCCGAAACGGCATCCAAGCGCCGAAAACTACGAAAACTTCCATCCGAGAGATCCAGTGTGCTCGCCAGTGGCGCCGCGGTTAGAAAAACAAGCAGTTGCATAAATAGAAACTTTCGGAGATTCAACCGTTAATGATCATGCAGTTTGTTCGCCTTCGAGTGGTCCGCCCTGGGAACCGAAGGCCTGGGGCCCCATGGGGCGGTGGATATGGATTCATTCAGGCCTCGTGGGGCCCAACCAAATCTATCCAAATTCACCGCCTGCCGAGGTCCCCGAAAATTGATCCCTCATGTTTTGTTACGGACAAGTCCTGGAATACAGTGTGAGATCTGTTGTAAGACAGGAACATACCGTAGACGAATTGACCCTTTCTCCGATCTTGTACTGCGCCGAACGCAACGACCTATTTGTCAACCCCGAATGTGCCTATGCTCGTAACGGCACCCAGCGTGTCTATAGACGCTTGTTGCCGGACAGTGAGAGCGGTATCTGGCACAGGGTGGAGATTTTGGCCTTCTAGAAGCAAATCGACATTGCCCTCTAAGATCAATCCCTGCCTCGGGCCGGGGGGGCGGCCGCAAATCTCCGGGTCGCTGGCCCTCGTGGAAGTCGCTTTGCTTTCGTCGGATGTCTGGGGTGGCGGCATTGAGTGGGGGGTACAAGTACATGACACATAAACTTTTGGAGGCCAGTCTCCATCGGAAAGTTGTGGAGGTCTGATAAATGTTGATACAATTTCTTGTCTTCGCGAGGTCCTTCGAGTTCAAGCCTCGCAAATGGTCCTCCGCTCCCACGCGGGCGGCGCTGCTGCTGCAGGCCGACCGGGAGGGCTGCGCCTGGTCAGTGCCAGGGACTTTTGTGTCCATAGCCGTAAGAGCGCCTTCCTCGCCCTGGATCCTCGGTCCTCACCCCCTTCTCGTCCTCCCCCTTTCCCTCCTCGTCGTCGTCCTCCTCATCTTCGATCCTCCTCCTCCTCGAGCTTCTCCTCCTGCTCCTCGTCGTCCTCGTCCTCGTCCGCGATGCTCGATCCTCGATCCTCCTTCTCCTTTTCCTCCTCCTCTTCGATGTTTTCTTTTGAGAAGAGAGAGAGAGGGAAAGAAAGAAAGAAAGAAAGGGAGGGCAACGTAAACGACGAGGCTGTTGCGTTCTTGTATGCAAGAACTCTAAGATTGTGGCACTCAGTAAAATCACATGGATCCAGATTAATCGGTGCAGCAAATGCAAAGAGACATTTTCAAGTGGCCAAGCCCCTGGACGGCACAGAGTATTGGATCTGCAGGCGTCGGCAAGGTGGTACCTCCTGGCCAACCCAGCTCCACTGCCAAACCCAACCACTGTTCCACTTCAAAGGCCTCAGCGGGTGCCAATGCAACACACGTTTGCTCGGCTGGCGGTCGGCCCTCCAGTGGGGTTACCCGCTTTCGCCGTCAAAACCACCCAACGCGATGTAACATGCACTTTGATGTAAAATGGGGAGGTGCAGTGCGCATGCTGAAAATGCAGCCGATGTGTCAAAACGTGTGCCTGTCCTGCGGTCGGCCCTCGAGCGGGGCTGTCAGCAGTCGCTTTTGTTCTTCCTCTTTCCATCTGGAACTCTGACTCCCAATCCCCCCCCCCCACACACACAAACCCTACTGCCCTCACCGAGCGCCTGGCAATCGACTGGTTCCGGCGGTCGTCTCGCTCAACATTTCACTATCCAGCCGGCCAAATCTGGGGCTACTTAAATGTAACGCTGGCGGCTAGCCTGCTGGTGCTGAAATTGCGATGTCTGCCCTCGTCGAGGGTCTTGTTGGCGTTCAGCCCCTACAAATCTTCTCCTGTGATGGCGATGAGGATGTACACGATGAGGACGATGAAAATGCGGCAAAAATGATGGCATATGCGATGTGAAACAATTGCCCCAACCGAAGGTCTGGAAGAGCAAAGCCATTTTCCCGAAGATCTTGCGTACAGCGAGTTGCTCTTCATCCATAAATCTATACCGTACCGCCCTCGCCGAGGGCCTGGCGGTCGACTCGCTCGCGGCGGTCGGCTCGCTCGGTATCTGTCCAACGGGCAAGAACTGGGTCACCGAAATATAGCGTTGCTGATGAAGATGGAGATGATGAGGTGAGGATTCAACTGGCATGCGAAGGAAAGCAACAAGAGGCGAACGTCACGACAGAACTCGAGGCTATGCAAGCAGCGGCGCTGCCGGCGCGAGCCTGTCCAGCGAACACCCCCGTCCAACCCGCCCAATCACCCACCCAATCATCACCAATCTTCCTTGGATCGATGTTCTCACCAAGGGTCGTTCATAAATCGGCCACGTGCCTGAGTGAACTTTAAGAAATTCATCCCAGTGCGACCCTACCTAGGAGTTGGAGCCCCTAGGAAAGCAGCATTAGTAGTAACAGTAAAGCTAAGCTAAAGCTAAGAAAAAGATAAGCTAAAGCTAAGCTAAAGCTTAGCTAAAGCTAAGCTAAAGCTAAGCTAAGGCTGAGCTAAAGCTAAGCTAAAGCTAAGCTAAAGTTAAGCTAAAGCTAAGCTAAAGCTAAGCTAAAGTTAAGCTAAAGCTAAGCTAGAGCTAAGCTAAAGCTGAGCTAGAGCTAAGCTGAAGCTAAGCTAAAGCTAAGCTGAAGCTAAGCTGAAACCAAGCTAAAGCTAAGCTGAAGCAAAGCTAGAGCTAAGCTAAAGCTAAGCCGAAGCTCAGCTGACGCTGAGCTAGAGCTAATCTAAAGCGAAGCTGAAGCTAAGTTGAAGCTAAGCCAAAGCTAAGCTAAAGCTGAGCTATAGCTAAGCTAAAGCTAAGCTGAAGCTAAGCTAGAGCTAAGCTAAAGCTAAGCTAGAGCTAAGCTGAAGCTAAGCTAACGCTAAGCTAGAGCTAAGCTAAAGCTAAGCTAAAGCTAAGCTGAAGCTAAGCTAGAGCTAAGCTAAAGCTAAGCTAGAGCTAAGCTGAAGCTAAGCTGAAGCTAAGCTAGAGCTAATCACAGCTAAGCTAGAGCTAAGCTGAAGCTAAGCTGAAGCTAAGATAAAGCTAAGATTAGGCTAAGCTGAAGCTAAGCTAAAGCTAAGCTAAAGCTAAGCTACAGCTAAGCTAAAATTAAGCTAAAGCTAAGCTCAAGCTAAGCTGAAGCTAAGCTAAGCTGGGTGAACCCAGGGGGCACGACTGGGGGAACCGCGGGGCGGGGACTGGGGGAACCGCCCGGGGCGCTTTGCACTGCCTGGCCCCTTTAAGCTAAGAGAGTAAGAACCCTCTAGGCAGAGCTTAGGTAGGGAACAAAGATTATCGACACGCGCTGCCGATTGATATGCCGCTTTCTGTCTTGTGCCACCCCTGCAATGGTCCAGGCTGGCAGCAACGAACAACTTCCCTCAGTACCCCCACACACACACACACACACACACACACACACACACACACACACACACACACACACACACACACACACACACACACACACACACGCGTCGAATTGCTCCGACGAGACAGCCACCGCGCGGAAAATTGTCCCTTTTGGGACCTCATTGGCTGATGGCGATCAGGGGGAGGAAGGTGAGTATAAATGCGCTGTCGGAGGTGGTGGTAATGATGATGACGGCGTTGCGATGACGATCTGGTGCAACATACATTCGACTTGTCTCATCGCGCCAGCTCTGAGGCGCTGAATGAAAACACACACAACTATAAATATATGTGTATTTTGATCTACGTATACACAAAATCACATATATATATATATATGTAAATCTCAGAAATGACAATACCTGTGTTGCTTGCATTTCCAAGAGCGAAGCACTCGCACACCTGACCTTCTGCGTGTCCACCTTCGCTTCGCATTGTTTCCAAAACAACTTGTCAACGTTCACATCTTTCTTCTTGGGCCATACCAGTGGCCTGGTTGTGCCAATTATGCACAAGTCGACAACTCTTACCTACTTGGTCACACATCTTGCCATATCCGTCGAGCAAATTGTGGTGAACCCGGAGTTGGGGGAACAGGAAATACACAGTAACCCTAAACTCTGGTACATCTAGGTATATCGTCAGAACAGTGCCATCCCCTGGCTCCTGTGCATCTGGTATTTGAACCTCAGCCAGACTGTGGGCTTTCAAAGACGTCGTGGACAGCGCTTCGAGGCCTCCACCTTCCCTTGCAGCTGCTGCGACTGAATAGATCTCGGAAGTGTAACAAGTTCTGGCGTATCAACTTCCTAATTCAACTTCCTACTGTTTATTGGGCGGCCTCGGGAACAACGTTTCAAGAACACTTCGGAGTGAATCTGGGCATTCGTGTCAGATCGCCTAGCGACCAAGGCTTACAAAACCGCGTCGTTATCTTGTGGCAGCCTGGGAAGGTTTGGCGATCGCGAAGGAACCTAGTCTGCCGCGATGGTCCTGGGAAGGCTGCGTATTGATGATGCCCACATTGCGTTTGCGAGTTGATCTGTCCACCACCGATAAGCGGTTCCAAACCCATGGCTGATTGTCACGACACGCGCTGACGATGCCAACCATGCGTTTGGAAATTGGACGGTCTGCTGTCGCAATACGGAGCCACGCAAATTCCTGATTGCCAAGAAACGCAAGGATGATGCCAACCTTGGGCTTTTTGAGCTGACCTGCGCGCCAACATGAAACTGCGGCCCATCCACTTCTGAATGTCTGATCAATGTTTTCAACATGTGTATGGCGCGGTCTGATCGCAATCTGTGCACGTTACGCGGTGCGTCGCTCCTTCGATCGACTCGCTTCGACATCTGTCCCACACTGCGTGCCGCTGCAAAACCGCCAAACAAATCAGATCTGCGACTATGGCGGCTCATGGTCAGCATGTACGGAATTGGGAGTGGCGCGAGCAGCCCTGCTCGCGGGGGCAGCCGCGTGCGGCCCCAAGCCCGAACCCTTTGGGCCCGAGGCTTCCTCCTCGTCCACCTTAATCCTCCTCCTCCTCCGAGGTTGGGAGGCAATACCTAGGAGGTCGCCTTCGCAACGATGACTCAGAGCTAGTGAGCCCGACAGGGTGGGCCACTGAGCCAGATTGGGCTGGATTGAGCTCAAAATTTAGACCGACTAATCCTGATTCGGCGGGCTTGCAAAGAATTCTGCGGGACTATGCCGGACTAGGCTGGTTTCGATGCCGGATATTCCAGCTCCGATGCAGAGTCTCCAATAGTTGCATCACGAAGCGGGTTTGCCCAAACTCGGGCCCCGAAGGCCCCACGAAGCGCCGGGTGTGCGCAGAGGGCGCCTGTGCCCAGATCTCCGACGATACGATGTTTTCAATTCTCGCATTTTTTCATTGATTCGAGCCGTCGCGGGGCCCCGCGGCCATCAAACACGGATTCCGGACGGGCAACTACCGCGGGAGAAGCGGTCGGTACCTCTGGGGCCGCGGGTTGACAAGATCAAATCGGCGCGCCTGACCCAGGGTCATCGTGGGTCCTGGCGCCGTGCCCACGCCCCCATTACCGAGGCCAGGAGCGCCTGAAGTGGTGGTGGTGGTGGTGGTAGTGGTGTTGGATGTATGGACGTTCCCTGCCCTCACTAGGTGGGCAGGCATTCACATCCAGCGCTACTCGAGGCTCTCGAAGGGGCACGTCTCTATGTCTCGTCTCGGCTACTGTGATGAGTGGCCTCTGGTGCGGCTTGCCGAGCGTCGCGCGCGATGCAACAATGGCGGCCTGTGTGTTTCGACTTGCCCCCCCCTTGGGCGCGGCCAACCCGATCCCTCCCGTGACCAGCCCACTCCGTGACAATACACTCACCCTTGAGACTTTCCCCTGGCCGCCTGCCCACGCCATGCAACGAGACGAAGGGGTCGTCACAGAAAGCCCCAGAAACCCTGCAAGCCAAAGATCGGTGGAAAGACTGCGCAGGCCAAGTCACAGGGAGGCAGCGACGAGAGGGGGGGACTGGCGCAGGGGGAGAAACGTTGACCTGGAATCGGCGCTACATCGCTGACAGGCCTCCGACTGAGAATCCGCACGTTCCTGGGCGGGGTGGAGCAGTGGGCGATTGTAGCAGAAGGGACAACCACATAAACATAAACTTGTGGCGCTGCAGCAAAAGTTTATGCTTATGGCACTTGTTCTTCTCCGAGAATGGGGGTCGATGAGTTCGCCCCCTGAGCCCATCCCCCACTATGGTTAAGTCGGGCATGCCCCTACCTCTACAGGAGGAACATTCAAAAGCAGTCTAGAGATACTCGGGGGACAGTGTTTCTACGTATGCTGGTGTTTGAAATGTGTTTGACTCTGCTTGACTCTGTTTGACTCTGTAGGAAAAGCCGAACCCGGGCGCCGGCCTCGGCCGCGGCGGCTGGCGGCTCCGCCGCGCCCGGCGCCCGCCCCCTGCCAGGACCAAGCCAGAGATCGGGTCGCGAAGGCGGCCTACGTCGGATCGAGGAGGAGAAGGAGGAGGGGCGAGGAGGAGGAGGAGGAGGAGCAGGAGGAGGAGGAGGAGGGGCGAGGAGGAGGAGGGGCGAGGAGGAGGAGGAGGAGCAGGAGGAAGGGCGAGGAGGAGAGGCGAGGAGGAGGAGGCGAGGAGGAGGAGGGGCGAGGAAGAGGAAGAGAAGGAGGAGGAGGGGAGGAGGAGGAGGAGGAGGAGGAGGAGGAGGGCGAGAGGAGGAGGAGGAGGAGGAGGATGAGGAGGAGGAGGAGGGGCGAGGAGGAGGAGGAGGAGGGGGAGGAGGGGGAGGAGGAGGGGGAGGAGGTAAAGGAGGAGGTGGGCGGAGGAGGACGGAGGAGGACGGCGGAGGAGAAGCTTGCCTGCCCTTCCAGGCGATGGTGGCGCAGGGCCCGTCCGATTGAATCGTGCAGTCGGCCCGCGAATCGAAACGCATCGGATCGCCCAGCGGAGCGCTCCGAATCGGATCGGAGCATCAGAGGAATACAGGAACAACAATCTGCATAAACATATACTTTCGGAGATCCGCGCGGATTTTTCGGATCGGCGTTTGTCTCCCTTGGCGGCGCTTCCGGCGCCGCCCCTGGCGCGCTCCGCGCGCCAGGGATGGGGGTCCAGCGTCGATCCAAGAAATCTGCGCGCAACTCGTGAAAGTTTAGTTATGTCTATGCATGTCTGTCCTTCTCCGGATCGGATCGCACAGCGAACCGCTCCAAATCGGATCGCAACCTCCGAGGAGAGCTAGCTGAAACAACGGCACAATTGACCTCTGGGGGCCCACTCGTCGCCAGAGCTGGACGCAGTTCGGGAAATTGGTCCGTTTGGACCCCAGGAGGGGTCCGATGACAAGATCAGTCAGCATCGAATCAGCAAATCGGACCGAATCGAAATGTGTACCGGATCGGATTGCATCGGTACGGAGCGGAAGCGAAATCGAATCGGATCGGCTGCGCCAGGATGCACAACGACGCCATGCACGCATCGGACCGTATCGGGTCGTATGAATATCGAAATCGAATCGGATCGGGCCAGCCAGAATCGACATCGAATCGGATCGATCGGATCGAAGTGGACCCTGGATAGATTCTGAGTTTGGGAGGCAGCTGGGGGGTCTGGATTGGCTGGGGCCCTAGAAAATCGGCCAGGAGGGGGAGGAAGTCAAATCGGCCCAAAATCGGTCCCCAACCCCCTCCTGGGGTCCAGCTGGTGCACTTTCGCCCCAAATCAGTTCTGACAGTCCGAAGGCGGAAAAAGGCAACAAAAACTCCTCGAACCCAAACCTCCTCCGTGGGTGGCGACGTGATCTTGGCGCCCATCCACCCGCCGAGTGCGTGCGGATCTGGGCCTGGCTGGGCTTCCACGCGCGGTGCTCGGCGGCCCCCATCGTCGGTGCTGCAGCCAGCCACGTCGACAGGTAGTGCTTGGCCGCCGCTGGCCCGAACTCCGCCGCGCCCATGGCCGACGACTTGCGCTTGTTGCAGCCGTGGCGGGTCGGGCACTGCGCCCGAAGGCCGCGGCCACCGCGCCAGTGGGCCTCCAGCGAGATGGGTGCCCGAGCGGGCACCGCGTGGCCTCCGTGGCCCCCATTTGCGTGAACCTCAGGAGGAGCCTCAGCAGCGATCGGCGGCGGTGGATCTGCAGGCGGCTCCCCGTCGCCATCGTCGCCGCCAATGCCGGCGATGGCCGCGGGCGCGCCTTCTGGGACAGGCTCTGACGGCGCCGCCATCAGCGTTGCGTCGGCGATGTAATCGTCGCCAGATGCCTCGAACTCGCGTTGCACTCTCGCGCATTTGCCTGCTCTGGGGTGGGCCCTCCAGCCCGCAGCAGCCATTTGTAGCGCGCCTGTGACTGGTCGCTCCAGAAGCGCCTCTGGCCGCGCAGAGAAATGGATCGGCGGGTCAGGAGGCGCTGGAAGTAAAACATATTGGAGCTCAACCTGCGGCCGTCGAACTTCGCGACCGAGCCCTTGGCGCGCAAACAAAGAACATCGCTGGGCCTGACCCCCATCGGCCACGAGGGCGCCAATCAAGAGGAGCACGGGTATCTTCGGGTCGGACAGGGGGGCCTTGCGATGGCGCGCGCGGGGAGGGGGGGGGGGGGGGGCGTCGTCTCCACCCCCCAATCCGCTTCCACGCCTTCCTGTTCCTAAAACTCTACCCCCCCCCCCTCCCACCCCTCCTCATCCCCCCCCCCCCCTCCCCGTGAGTCCTCCACAATGCAACCTTCTTGTCGCGTGGGCCGATGCAGCCGTCGACCCGCGGGGCGCGCGCCCGCCGCCCGTTGATCTGGCTGCGCTCGGCCACGTCGCCGCCGAAAATCGCGAAGGTGCTGGGGTGCGCTGAGACCGCTGCCACCGCAAGCACATCGATGCGCCCGTCGCCGTCGGCCTCGGACGGATCAACCAAGCCGTGGTATATGTGGGGGCCGTGCCAGTTGTCTCCACGAGGATGTCTTTCGTCTGCTTCGCAATGATGTAGTAAACGTGGACGGGCACATCATCGCCTGGCCCACTTGTGACTGAGAAGTAGTCGCGCTGCCGCAGCGCGCCTCCGAGGATCTCCACCGTTAGCTCCCGCGACTCTGTCAATCCTCGGAACTGATTGTCCCCTGCGTGGGCTTCACCGTGCGCCGCGCTGGCCGCATTTCCAGGGTCTCCGCCGCGAGGGTCACCAGACTTGTCAAATGCCTCGCCGGCTTCGTGCGAATCGTCGCCAGGTCGATGACCCAGGTACTCTCTCATGCGCTTGTTCTCGTTTCATCCCGATCGGCTTCGTCGGCCTCTTCGCGTTCACCACCGAAGACCACGCGTTCCATGCGTGCTGGATGCTTGGCCCAGTTGCGGTGGCCAGCTGCTGCGCCGTGCTGGGGTTGCGAGCAAGCCGACGCGATGGCGCCACGAACGGGAACTTGGTGCATCGTGAATTCCCCACGACACGCTTCGACTTTGAACGCGGCCCAGCAACGGTGCGGTCGTCGAATGGGATGTCGACGAGCTGCAGCGCCGCTTGACGGAGCCCCCCAGGTTGTTCCCCGCCGGCCTCGGGCAGTTGCACAACCGAGCCCTTGCCAGGCGAGTCGCCGCCCAAAAACTTCAAGGTTACTGAGTGGTGCGGATCTCTGCGGGCTTCTCGGCGCGGCGGTAAGACTCTGCCAACTCTTCCATGCTCGCCCAACCTCGAAAACAGGTCGAGGATGTGATCCAATAGCTGCAGCTTCCGCATGCCCAATGATCTGCATTACTGCACAGCACCAGCGCAGGACGATTGCAAAGAGGCATCCTCGCCGGAATCGTGCAATGACCAGCGGCAGATCTCCTTCACGGCGCCATTGAATACCGTATTCGCGTGGTCTCATGCATCTGCTATCAGACGGCCCTTCATCATGCAGGAAACTGTTCGCCCATGCCTGTGCTCCTGCTGGCGGCGCGCGCATGAGCCCCCCCCACGACTGCAAAGATGAAAGCCAGTCGGCGTGAACGCCGCGAACTTGACATGCAGTGCCCAACGATGGCTGAAAAGGGACGATTTCACCTTCTTCAGCAATGCCGTACCCCCGGTCTTCGACGACGTAAGCAATGCCGTACCCCCGGTCTTTCACCTTCTTCAGCAATGCCGTGCCCCCGGTCTTCAGAAATCGAAGGAAGACCGCGACGACGGCGTATGTCGAGCAGCGCCGACATCGCCTTGCATGCCCTGTGCAACGTACCCCGTCGCTACTCTGCAAAGTATGGTATCGATATCTTGGCAGCCAGCTGCGCTACCGAGAGACACGTTTGCCGAATAGCCTTCGCCACATCATCCGAATAAAACCGCAAGAACTGCAAGCGCGCCTTCAAGCCACCTAACCACGTCGGGAACCAGGGTAAACTGAATAGCGGACGCTTGATAACTGCACCAATGATGCGCACGCACCCAGGAGCCACGACTGCGACAAGGAACACTTGCCTATGTCGTCGAACCCGTGGCGGAACACGTATACCGACAAGATCGCAAAAATCGATCAGAACATCTGGCGCTGTGCACAATCGTCTTTCTGTCCTGGAATCCGTCGTGCTAGATGCAACCTTGGCCAACAAATCCGAAGCGAACGGCAGCTTGGCCCGGCGATGAGCATGATCTTCCACAAAATCGCGAGCGTCTTTCCGATCAGGTCGGGCTGGCGACCCCCGATGCGGACTGCAGGGAGTAGCACCCTCAGGCATGTCCACCTCTCGCCGTCACAACTGATGAGGTCCATGGTGCTAGCCACCATCCCAGCACCACGCCACTGCGGGCTGCCACCCGTGAGCAAGTATATGCTGGAGCAGTGCAGCTCCTTGGCAATATACAATCCGAACAATGCCATGCGCGCAATACCCAGACGAACCCGTGCAAGCCGAAGCACCGTCCGAGATATAGCATGAGATTCGCTCACCATGCGCTGCGCTTCATCGCGGCCATGCTGCGACAGTACCCTTGCCCATGCAAACTTGGCCTGCTTCACGAAATGCATGCTCTTGAGGTGCTGAGCTGCGCCCAGGACTGTAATGATGGCAACAGCTGGGAGCCCAACGATGATGGGAGACCGTTTCGGTCTCAACCACAGGTTCTGGCTTACCGACCTCAAAGCAACTCTTGAAATTTGTTGCCGTCGTTTTGCAGGTGGGCCCAATGTCAGAAGATGCTTCGACCACCTCAGGTTTGGCTTGAATGGAACAACTTCCATCGTCCATATGTCATTGATCTGCTTAGCGTACTCTTCTGATGTCACAAGTGCACAGGTTAGGACGTCACTCGCAGCTTTGCCAACTTCGCCTGCCCACAGACGAACCATCTCCTTACACGTGATGTCTTGCCGCCCGTCGTGCACACCAACCATGTCTTCGCAGCGTGCGCAGGTGATAGCTCCCCACACGTCAATGTTGCCGATAACCAGATGTTCTGGAAATTTGAGTTCTGACACTTTGGTTACATGGTATGCAACTGCACCCGATATTGCATCTATGTTCTCACCAGAGCAGCGTGTCAACAATACTTGGGATTGATCACAGTTCGGAATGGCATCTGGTTTGTGAATCTCCCAATGTCCGAATCCGATGCTGTAGGCGACGCGGTCATCGAACGCATGGGGTTCCTCACAAACTGAAAAGCCTCGGCATGAACTCGCACTGCATATGCTCCAGACGCACACGCCCACACGCCGCCGAAATTGTATATCACATTGACTGTCCTGCCTCGTTTGCGACCACGGCGCGCTGGAGACATCTGCGCAGCAGCATCGTCCCCATGGATGTCTGAAACGTTGGCGTGGCTCGGTGGCAAACTGTCGTGGTCGATCCCGCCCATGCGGGAGTGTGAAACTTCACTGGGCGAAGATGGCTGCACAATGCTTCTCACACGGGGATGCGATGCGACGCAATGCAATGCAAACCCCACTGCGCCTTGCAATTCAAGTCAACACGAAGGCTAACTATGCAATGACATGGAACGTGGTTTTGAGCAGCATGAAGCAATGCGAACGCAATGCAAGGTCCCCCAGAAGATTGATGCAACGCAAGGCAAGACAATCCCACTGGAGTGAGCAACTACGAGGACTGCAAAGAGCCCAAATGTGTTTGTGAATAGTCACCCAGCAAGCTGTCTGACGATAGATCCGCCGACCCTTTGGGGCCACTGCGATTGTGAGAAATTTATTTTCTAGCCCGTGAGGCGCACGCCGCAACCCGACCCCCTCTTTTGACGGTTAAAGGTCCCTGTTTGATTCACCACCCCGTCGCCGTCGGCCCGCGCCTCTTCAGCTGCCACCCAAGAACAACTGAAACGACATATCGTTTCTGTTCTAAGGGTGCCACATGCCCATCCACCGACTAACATACATTTGCCCTACCTACCATCATTCAAGTAAACTCGCCCCTTAGGTTTTACGAACACTGGGATTACTAAAACCTCGGCCCAAACCCGCGCTCAACATTCTCCTCTGCCCTGCCCACTCGCTTAAAAGACCAAGCTGCACGCAAACCACGCAATGGTTGTATGCTCATTACTTGCGACAGTTTGATTGGGCACCGTCGTGCATTTCGGGGGGAATTGCCATGAATTGTTGCAACATACGGTATAGTATGACCCTTTCTTTATTCGTTACTGGCGTTTGAAATTGTAGGGCTCAAGATGAATGTTCAGGGCCCCGACGAATAGGTTTGGGGATGGATGTTGCACTCGTGCTTTGGGCTTGGGGAACTGAGTAGCCTTCTCGTGTGAGCTGAGCTTGTTCACTCCCTACGCCCTTACCAGATACCCTCTCCCAAGATGCACAAAAACATTCAACAACCACAAAGAACATGAGGGCACCCTCCCCGAACCGACCTCGATCTTGTACCTCGGTCCGGCTGTACTCGATGGGGCCGACGTGGCTTTCGGGCCATAACTTGGCTCTCTGGCGGCCGTTCGGGACGATTCTGGCACCCCGGAACGCCCTCGACGAGGCGCAGCTGATGCAAGCCACCCCGACGAGTCCCGAAATCGTCAAACAACTTGAGATCCTTCGACTGCATCTTCTTCGAAGGCACCCTCCCCGAACCGACCTCGCTCTTATACCTCGGTCCGACTGCAGGCGGCCCTGCCTGCCGCCGCGATGGCGCAGCGGCAGGGACGCCGCGCGCCGCGCGCCGCCGGCGGGCGCCGCGGCGCAGCCGGGGTGCCGCGGGCGGCCGGCGCCGCCCGGCAGAGCGCGGCGCGCGGCCAGCCTGCGGCTTCAGACTTTGCGATGGGCGCTGCTTGACGGAGGGCGATGATCGGCGCCGACAACGGCGACGGCGACGGCGACGGCGACGGCGACGGCGACGGCGACGGCGACGGCGACGACGACGACGACGACGACGACAACGGCGACGACGACGACGACGACGACGACGACGACGACGACGACGACGTTGGGCGGGGCGCGAGCAGCGTGCGGGGCGCACGGAGGTCTGGAAAAAAATGCCAGGCCGATCCGGCGGCGAGCCCCTGGAGGAAAGCGAGAAGGGACGGGCCTTCTCAGAAGGCTCAGAAGTTCCCCCCCCGCCTTCTGAAAAGTGTTATGAGCCTTCCCCGGCGACACAAAACACTTCTCAGGAGGCCTGAGGGCTTCTGAGAAGTCTTGCCGTCTTCTGAGAAGGCCTTCTCCTTCTCACTTCCCCCCCTTTGCTCGACGCCGAGATGAAAGGGGGGGAAGAGACGTGCACCTATCGTTTCCCTTTTTGGCCCCAAAGGGTCCTTTCAAGGCAGAGTCCACAAGAGGTGCACCTTGCTTCAAACCCACATTGGTCGCAGCCCCCCATTACGCAACGCCCGATTGCAGCAAAGGCCCTGTGAACCCGGACGCGCTAGACCGAGATTTCCAGCACCTCTCGAAACCAAGTTCTCCCTGACGGCGGCACGGGAAAATCAAAGGCAGCAACGTGGAATGGGGATTCCCCGCTGCAACATCCTGGCGGAGAGCCGCGGGCAACGCCCGACCGCCGCGAGCAACACCTCCACCTCCACGTGCATGTATTCTCCCTTCTCCTCCTCATCCTCCTCGTCCTCATCCTTCCCATGTTGCTGCTGCCCCGCCACCATCTCGTCCACCCTCCGCTTCCAATTGGGTTCCCTCCTCCTCCTCCTCCTCCTCCTCCTCCTCGGCGTCCTCCTTCTACGCCAGGCCCTCAATCGTCCCAGCGTGCCATGGTTTTCTTCCACCACTGGCGCGTCCACGCATCCCCCCACCAGAAGCCTCCTCCTCCTCCTTCTCCTTCTCCTTCTCCTCCTCCTCCTCCTCCTCCTCCTTCTCCTCCTCCTCATCCTCCTCCTGGCCATCCCGCCCGTGCTGCGCGATGGCTCACGCAAACCGCGCGCACGGAAGACCGCGTGACGCTCCACACTCCGCGGGCAGCTCACGCGCGAACGCTATAGCGCAACCGACCCCCTTCAGAAGGATCGCAAGTGAGAGCACAAACAAGAGGGAACACGCACACGACGACACGGTGACCTTGCGCGGTGGCCACTCAACCCGCTCGCGCAACTCGGCGCTTACGCGAAACGTTCCACGGACAACTCACGCGCGATTGCCCGTGCAATCAATCCCCCGTGGAATTCCGCCCGACCGCCCCCCTCCCCCGAACCCATGTCCGCGACTGGCTGCGCAATCGACCGCCCTTGGAATCCGGTGGCGGTTGCGCGCGCCCGCGGGCAAGTTGAAATGTGTCGCCTGGTTGCGGTGACGACGGCGCGCCCACGTGGGTGGGTTGCAGAGTGACGCCTGGCTGCGGTGGTTGCGGTTGCGGGTGCGGTTGCGCGCGCCCCCCGGCGGGTTGAGGTGTATCGCCTGGTTGCGCTTGCGCTCGCGCGCGCCCGCGGGCGGGTCGAAATGTGTCGCCTGGTTACGGTTGCGCGTGCGCGCGACCGCGCAATCGCGGGCGGCTTGGAATCAGTCGCCGGGTTGCGGTTGCGCTTGCGCGCGCCCGCGGGCGGGTCGAGATGTGTCGCCTGGTGGCGGTTGCGGTTGCGCGCGCTCGCGGGCGGGTTGACATGTATCGCCTGGTTGCGCTTGCGCTTGCGCGCGCCCGCGGGCGGGATGAAATGTGTCGCCTGCTTGCCGTGGTTAAGGTTGAAGTTACGGGTGCGCACGCCCGCGGGTGGTTTGAGATGTGTCGCCTGATTGCGGTTGCGCTTGCGCTTGCCGGCGGGCGGGTTGAAATGTGTCGCCTGGCTGCGGTTGCGGTTGGGCGCGCCCGCGAGCTGGTTGAAATGTGCGGTTGCGGTTGCGCCCCGCTGGTGGGTTGAAATGTGTCAACCCGTTGCGGTTTCGGTTGCGGTTGCGCCCAGCCGGCGGGGTGAAATGTGTCGCCCAGTTGCGCTTGCGCGCCTCGAGGGCGGGTTGAAATGTGTCGCCCTGTTGCGTTTGCGGTTCCGCAGGCGGTTTGAAATTTGTTGCCAACAGAGCCCCATCTAGTTCAGTCAGCCCAGCTCAGTCCGGGGGCACGGAATTGCACCCCGCCCCACCAACAAAAACCTGCACTGCAACACTTTCTGACCACGCCCGGACAAGAGCCGTAAAAGCCTGCAGGGCCCCCCTAGACATGGACAAGGACTGGCAACACCATGCACGGGGCGACCAAACCCGATGATACAGGAAAAGATATCGCTTCCAAGGCTTGCCAATGTCCTGTTTTTTTTTCAACCCCAACGAGTTTTCCTGCAGAGACTGGGGCGGCGACAGCCTGCCGAATATTTCCCCCGCCAGAGTTAGGCGGGGAAACAAGGCCACCTGCAGGATCCTGCAATTGGAAAAGCAGCAGGACCGCCATCCCTCGACTGCACAAGAGGACGGGCGGAAATCAGCCAGGATGCTGGGTTGCGACGGTGTTGGGGCTAGGAGCCTGAGCCCCAGTCCACTGCAACACCCCAAAAGACGAGAGACCGACGGGGCGAGGAGCCACCGTACTCCCGAGAAAAGAGACGCCTCCTCGAGAGCGTCGCGCATACCTCAGAGGCGAGGAGCCAGTGCGCGAGACGCACGCGCGCACACACGAGGCCACGCGAAGAATGAGGCGGGCCTAGGCGTTGGGGCCAGGAGCGACTCTGCCTGGCCACTGCAAACGCCAAATCCGAGCGACTGTCGGGATAAGCCTACCCCGGTGCTCCGCTGAAGCAAACCCTCAGGATGTGCGCACACCTTCCCCCTGAAGCGGGGTGCCTGACACACGTGCAAACACGAAACGTACGCACTCGGAATAGAGGCCCACACAAGGACGACGAGGCCTGCCCCAGGTGCTGGATGCGCCTGGACGACATAGCCTCGCCCCAGATGTAGAGCCAAGGCGTAAACGAGAAAAAGAAAGGCCGAAGGCCACAAACTCAAAATAAAATAATCGACCACCCACACAAGGACGACGAGGTCACCAGCCCTTGGTGCAGCGAGCGCCAGGGTCGATGGCCTCGCTCCAGATGTGGGGTAGAGCACGGATGCCTGCCGAAGGGTCAGACGCATCGGGCCGTGCTGGAAAGAAGAAAGAAGGCTAAAGCCTGAATGAATAGACTAATCAGAACTGTCAGACTGATCCCGGCGCCTCCTCGCCAAGAAAGTGGGATTGTCCCGTCGCAGCTCCTGATTGGCATCTCGCTTCTGCAAGGCAAACAGAAGCTCCGAGGCCATCTCCTGCAGGTGGGCCCCCTCCTCAGAATCAGCGCCTTGCGGGGGGCCCGGGGGGGGGGGGGGGGGGCAGGGAGGTGCCTGTAGGGGCCTCGGGGCAGGCGGGATAAGTCCGAGCCAGAGATCGGGCACTCGACGCCTACGGAAGGTCTTTTGGGGTGGCGCCCCTTGGAGACCCCCGACCACGCCCTCCTTCCAAAGAGCGATGGGCGAGACGGGCAGTTGACCAGCAAGCCTCTGAATCTCCCGTGAGAAGAGTAAGATTTACAAGAAATGCAAAAAGGATAAAAGTAGCCCCGTCGGAACATTCCACACCCATGCAGGAGTGCCCTAAACTGCTGATCCGTCGTAGAGGCAGCTCCCTCGTGCCTGGGCAGTCCTCCAAGGGGGGCTTGCGAGGCCGGGGGCAACGTCGCACTTTGAGGCATAGCAGGCACTTCCAAAAAGTTCCAACATGTCGCCAGAAATGCATCCCTTTGCCAGCTCTCACTGGCTTAGGCGGACGGACGTACTCTACTTCTCCATACTCACGCAGAGGACCGTAGTGGGGGAGAAGGTGTTTCGCCAGGGTACAGTAAGCTCTAGCAAACTTGATGTCGGTAGGGAGCGATTCCTCTAGCTTCAAATCTGAGGGGTGCCTCGCGAGTGCGGCCTTCGCCAGGGCATCGGCCTGGTCATTCCCTTCCCTCCAGAGACGAAGCTGCGGGGAAATCGAAACGTCGTCGACCGATTGGTGGGATCTGACATGCGAAACAAGCGAAACATGCTTAAATCCTGGCTCAGCCCTAGCTTGCAACAGATGTCCTGAATACACGCCTTTATCACTGAATTGCCTGGATCGGTCGGCCCCCCAAAAAGTTTAACAACATTCTCGCAGTCGGAAACAATAGACGAGGGACCCGATATCAATTGGACCCCCGCCAAAAAGGCACAAAACTCACCAGCCTGGGGCGTCTGAGGGAGGTGGGCCCAGACGGGCCCCGAGGCTGTGGCAAGCAGCTCCTGGTCGGGACTGTACAGGGCGACTCCCCAGGAGGCTCTGGACAGCTCCTTAATGACTCTTCTCGAACACGAGCCGCCAACGAACACCGCGCCTTCAAACGATTCTGGCTGGGGGGGGGGTCCGAATGCCAGGTGATGTTAAGCTCATCGTCGTCCATATGTCGAGGAGGAGGGTGAAGGTCGCCAGGGTGAGGGAGAGCCCCATGGGTAACCACAAACAACTTGTCCGACGAAGTAACGCAATCGAACAAGGAATCTAGGAGTTCCGGGCCAACCAACTCGGAACGGAGAGCTTGCAACTTCGGACGCATCCACAGGCGGTGGAACATCGAGTCGGTGGGCGCGCCGCAGAGCTCGCATTCAGCAGGAAACTGATGCCCGCAGCCACGGGCCTTCATTCGAGTCCAAATACCGTCGCACGCACAGCTCCTCAGCATCCCTTCTTGGAGGGGAGTAAACTTGGAGGAGGCCAAGAAGGAGGAGACCGCATCGTAGCAGAGGCGGCCATGCCCGAAACAGTACTTGTGCGCCAGGTAGCGCTCGAGTCTCCTAAGGACCGCAGCTCGAAGG